TGCTTCTTTCATATCGACAATTGTGCCACGGGAGGATAACCTCTATTTAGAAACACAGAAAAAGATAGAGCATATAAAGGAAGAAAATAAGGCTAGCTCAATTATTTTCCCCACACCACCTCCAATAGGCACACCCTTTTCTGAAGGAAAAGAAAATTGTGGGGGGAAAAACAGTGATGCACACAGAAAGTAAACAGCAATGGCAAAGCACATGAAAGAAAGGAAGAAGCTAGAGGTCTTTACATAACATTGAAACTTTTTTCCTCTTGTGCTGCGGTCCTTTTAGTCAGATGCATAATCCGACTTGTAGTCAGCACATATGCCATCACTTGAAACTATATGTCCTTTTCGAGTGCAATCCTACGGCAGCCCAGCATTGTCTGGGAGATCACAGGATCCTTCTGAACCCCTGCTCCACACCCTCACAGACAGAGCAGAAAGAACTGTGCTGGCTCCCACAACCCCCTGCCAGGTCGCAACTGACCCTCAAAGAGGAAAAAAGAGTTGTGCCCTCTAGTGGGGAGGGGAGTTCATAGAATCATAGAATAGTAGAGTTGGAAAGGGCCATGAAGGCCATCGAGTCCATGTTATGCTGATTCCGATTGGTACCCTCAGCCTCCTTCCCTTCCCCTTCTGGCACTCAACCTAGTTGGTCAGAAGCAACGATGCAGAGAAAAATGCAGAATATGGCAGTAGAGATTGCTACCGCAGTGCCTCAGTCCTGCCTTTAGCTGTTTGTAAGCCTTTGAGTTCAGAAGCTAGTGCTCATCTGCCACAGGGGTGCTGAGAGTGTGTCCTCAGAATCACAAACAACCAGATTCGCTTGTCTATGCCAGTTGAATAGATGACATCCTATTCTCTTTTTCTTTTCTTTTTTTTCTTTTTGAGTTTGAATGTTGTATATTTAGCAGCCATTTGTTTGGGTAACCCAACCCCATCCCCACCAAACACGAGATACTACATTAAAAATAAGAAAAAGTTTTTAGTTTTCTTAAAAAAATACTCAGTTCTTTTAAAAGTCACTTAAAGTAACCACGGACTTTGCACAATCCTCCAACAGTGCTCTTGCACAAACCTTATTTCATATCACTGGGGCTTGTGTGGAAGTCATATTTAGTGGATTGTATCCTTTATATTACAACTGGGGCAATTGAATCTGGTAGATCCAAAGGGAACTTGGTTTATTATTCTCTCATATTATATTTTTTAAACTTTTCAATATGGTTACCCTGTTTTGAATACACCACAGTCATTGCAGTGAATCCTTCATCACTTTTTCTGATGGAGGAAGGTTTAAATCATTTGGTTTATTTGTTTTTAAGTGCTTCCTTTGCTAGAACTTTCTGCCTGCTATAGAGAAAAGAAATATTGGAGTCCATTGCCTTATTCATCAATAGCAGCTCTAGTTTTGAAGCTGATGCTGAAGCCTCTAGGAACCTGTCCAAGTCCCATGGGCACAATCATGTTCATGCTTAACTCCCCTTCGTTTAAGTAGTGCATCCACGTGTGCCACTTGTAAATTTGGGAGAACAAGGAATTTGGAAATGAATGGCATGCATGCTTTCAAAACATTCCCCATACACTGCTGGGCATCTGGCAAAATTTGGAGATACTGCTCCCAATTATCACTGCATGACATTCTTCCTTCTGTTTTGGGGAAAGGATATTTTCTTAGATTCTCCATATATAAATTTCATATATTCTTTTATCTTTTAAAAATAAGTTTGCACTGATTCAATTTACTTGCTATTGTCTTTTGCCTAATCAAACTAATTAGTGATTGTCAGCAAACATATTAAGACAACAGAAAGCCAGTTAGTATAAAGTGATTATTAACTTCATGCTTGCATGAAATAACTAGCGTGAGCCACTTTTAACTTTCTTCTTGCATGGGAGAGTTAAATGAGAACATCGATCACCTACTTTCAGTGACATCTTCTAAGTGACCTGAACACAGCACCAAAATGCAGAATGATGATGGCTGGTTCTGAACACTGGAAGATGACTCAGGGGGAAGGGAGGAAATGAACCTGTGAGAAGTTATGACAAAAGGAAGACTGTAATTTCCATACAAAAGAAATTAGACAATACAGCAGAAAAGCTCAGCAAAGTTAACACACACCTGGGCAGAACAGCTGGCGACCCATCTCTTTCTCATGCTGTGTACCAACTACTCAGAACTTTCCATTAGAAGCCTAAGTACATAGGATGTAAAATACCAGTGGAAGATAGTTTAAACAATCACAAAGATAAGAACTGGTCCGGCCATGTAGGTCAAATAAAGACATCTTTTTAAAAAGGAAAGAAATAAGAAAAAAACCCTCTATCTTCTGGACTGCGGTAGGGTGTCATTTCATCTTTGGTATAAAAGAGGCCATCCATAGGCTGCATTTGTTCACAACTAGGAAAGACTACAGAAATTGTCAACAATTTCTTCTAGCTATTGCTTTTTTTTGCACTTTTTTGACCATAAGCTCCTATCTACTTACGTTCTTCCCCAATGCTTTTAAGCTAGGTGTTTGCAATGTGACAAGCAAAGCAGACTAAAAACTTTTTAAAGCTCATAAAAAAGACTGCAGATAAAAAGCACTAATGCTTTTGCCAGCGATCACATATTGTAAATTAAAAAAAAAATCTCCATTCTGCAAGAAAAAATTCCTGCATTCCTTAAAATGCAAGTTGATTCCCCCCCCAGTTCAATAATTTTATTGTAAAACACTTTAGCCTTCTAGATTCTTCTCTGTCAACACTAAGAAAGTTAATAAAAGTCTCCACATTTTTTCAATTCTTGAAGTTGCCACAGTTTATCAACAGGTTTTCTTCAAAAGAAGAAAAATCATTTTCTGCTAAACCGAACAGTTTATATTTTTTTAATTCACCCTAAAAATTCAGTCTGTTGAACTTAAGCACCAGTTGATACTGGTGTAAACTTGATTTCATTCTCCTTTCTTCTACCCAGACGTTGACAGCTTGCCTTGAGAGCCTTTGACGTCCTTAAAATTAAGGCAATTAAGATTCAAGATAAATCTTACCTAAACATTTCTAAAAAAACAAAAAACAAACCTAAAATGAAAGACACACTTGATTTTGACAAGAAGGGGGAAAAGAGTAGCTGGATTCTGGAGAGGAAGACCATTAGTTAGTTTTCATTTCAGCTTGCTCCCTCTTGACATCGGTTCTCTGTTGTTGTTGTTTTGGAAAACAAAAACAAATCTATCTACACTTCCAAGTAAATTCTGAATTTCAAATGTTCATTCAGATGAAATATCAACCCAGTGTTTTGCCACGGGTTTTTTCTTTAATAAAAAAATAGCAAAAATAAAACTATCAGACTACATGACTGAACAATTTGCACAGCACATAGAAACACTGTTTGTTTTTGTTGGGTAAGGTAGAAAATGAAAAAAAAAATCTGTTGACGCCTGTGCAAACTGGAAGCCAACTTCTTGTTCAATGAAGTTTCTCCATTCAAGGCAAACTTTTCAGACCGACATTTTTCAGTCCTGTTTATTGTCTGTAAAAACAATTGAATTAAAGTAACCATTAAATCAAAGCAAGTCCGTGTCAATTTTTTCTTTAAAAATGTATCTATGTTATTTGCTTATAATTCATATCTCATCCCTTTTCCTGCAAAGGAACCCAAGATAGCTCACGCTGTCCCACTTTCCATTTTATCCTCACAATACAAACATACACAGTATCCTTACAAATGCTTGTGAAGCATGTTAGGCTGAGAGTCACTGACTTTCCAAAGTCACTTAGTGAGGTTCATGACTGAGTAGGGTCTATAACCAAGATCTCCCAAGTCTCAGTCCAACCTTCTAATCCCTATTCCATACCTTTCAACTTTGGAGAATGTTCTATCATATCTTTAATTACGTGCAACTTTCTCTGAATTGGTTTCAGCATAACACCCTATGAAAGGACATAGGAAAGAACCTGAAAAGTCCTCAGGGAGCATAGGAAATGGCCTTATACCATTTAAGACTTCTGGTCCACCAATCTCTACAGATAACAAATGGGAGCTGATAGAAGTGGCTAGCAGTGTAGACAATACTGTAGACCGGGGTGAGTTTGTGAACCACACCAGAAATGTGGAGCAGGAACCTACTGCATCCTTTGCATAAGACTCGACTTTGGTTTTTTATCTGTCTTGTAAGACTTTAAAAAGTGAGCACAGGAGCTGAGCATCTTAGGTCATCTTTGGGTTTAAATCTGAGATGTGTTTCCAGTTTTAATTCATTAGTTGGTCTTAGAATTTTGCTGGATCTAATCTTCAGTTTCTTCAGCACAATTCAGTGGACGTTTACTCAGATGAATGCCTTAATAAATTCAATGAAGTTATCCCCTGTAGTCATTTTACACAGGACAGCAGCAACAGTTTGGAAAATAACATGGAAATAGGAGCCACCTGCCTCTTAGTATTGTTGGATTGGCAAAGACAGACTGTAAAGCACTGTCAGTCTTACACATTCATTCATCTATCTATTCATCTGTCCATACACATGCCATGCCAATTCAACATACCTTTGAATTATCCCCTCAAGAGAAGCAGGTACCAGGCTGACATGTCAACAGACACCATCAACTTACTTCGATTGTTGATAGGAATATGCAGATGCATGTTCACTGGATGTTTCCACTGCCATCTGTTGTTGTTGACCACTGGCTTCCTGTGATGAAGGTGCTACTGTCTGTGGAGAGGTATCAGCAACAACACCCTGAAGAAACAAACAGGAACACAAGGGACCTTGCTGTTTTTAATAATATCAGCAGCTTACAGGAGGAGAAACTCAGCACAATCTTGCCAGCCTCATTATTTCTGTGCAGCTGCACCATTGCTTTTTATTGTTAAGTGTCAGGTGTATCAGAAGCCACATGCTGATATGACATGAATGCTACACATTTGAAAGAGATGCATGCCATGATTACAGCTTTGCATAGAAGGTCTGCTGAAGGCTTTTTCCTTATAACGCAGTGTTGAAATCCACATACTGCAGACTGTTTTAGTTTATTACACATGCATGGCTGGCCTGACTTGGATCTCATATGGGATTTCATATTGACTGATAGAGTTGTTCCTTCTTCATTGCTGTGAGATCAGAATCAAGCCACACCAAGCAGGTATGTTCGGAGTGTGACATATGAAGTGCAGTATCTGTATCATGCTTTGAACAATGATGTATGGCTATTTGGATAATATTTCCTGTACAGGCAATACAAAGATAAGACCTTTCAGCAATGCACAGTTTGCTGCAGTTTTAAGAATTGTGCATGTAATTATGCACATAATATTGTATGTAATCCTTAAGAATCTCATAAAAAAGAAGTTTGTAAGGATTTCTTCTCTCTCTCTCTCTCTCTCTCTCTCTCTCTCTCTCTCTCTCTCTCTCTGCTATTTTTAGAACCAATTTTAGTATTTTATGTAATAGTTTTCAAAGGGATTAAATTTTAAATTTTTGTTACTCTGCTTGTTACTCTGTGTCCTGGTAATGATTAGGGGATACTGATAGATACTGTAACTTTGCACTCATACTTCAGTGTGCAGAACTAGAAGCAGCAGCCTCTAAAACTCAAATGTGTAGCTGTTAGTATACGCATCTAAGTAGAGGTAGATAATTCTTATTTTTTCCACTGATGAGATAGCAAATTACTTTTAAGAAGCACTAAGAATCAGCAAGTTTTTAAAAATTAGAGTATAGTGTTCTTTAATAAAGAGTGTTTAAAATGGGTGTTTTGGTTAACATCAACAGCAAAACATGATAGAGAATTTTTTTTAAAAAATCACTGTACTGCAAGGGATTCAAAAGATGGATCAAACAGTAGTGATAGGTCCAAATGCATGGTGGTGACTATTGAGGAGAACCAATATTTGCAAGCAACTGTGTAAAAAGTGCCAATATTTATAGTGGAAGTGTGCCAGCACTGCTTCTTTTAAAAAGCATCCTCAACTATCCAAGAAGTGGTGAATCTACTCTAAAGGAAACATAACTCAAGACACAATAATTGAATCCATGCTGTGTCCAACACATAAAATTAGGTGAAACGTGTGCTAGGATGAATCTGTGAGGAACCAAAATATATAAAAAAAATCTACAGATGAATTTAAGAATGAACACCACCTTTCTTTTCCCCTCAAGGGTCCCTCTTACGCCTGTTTTCTTGTTTGTCCAGGCCTTACGGAGATGAACAGCAGGAGAGGTCAGGCTGTGGCTTTCTGGGTAGCTTGTTGTCTACAGTGCCGAGGACATACTTACTCTTTAGGCTGTCATCAGCGGGACTCAGCCTCGTGGAAGGAGGGAGCAAATCCTTCATCGAGGATGAATAAGCACTCAGTCAGTGCAGCATCCTCCAGGTCTGCATATACAAGAGGAAGGTTTCCTTTGCTCAGTTCATGGTTTCTGCTGGCTCTGGGCTTTCAGCAATCACTTATGGCACAAGTGCTATGTTATGGATAGCATCAACCCCTTCTTCATAGTCTTCTCTTCTCGAACCTCTTTGTGTGTGCAGCCTGATGATTGGCTTTGGTTCCTTTGCTTTCCCATACCCTGACTCCCCCAGCTTTAAGAAAAACAAACTACTCAATGGAATATCCTAGTTTGTCTTCGATGAAAACCAACATTAAAAAATTTGCATGTATCACTAAAGGGAGATAAAAAATAAGCAGGTGATTCTGTCTTTGTTTGCCCAAAGAGTTCAAAGCAAGATATACTTCAGATGCACAAGTACAGGTAAGGTACACTTACTTCAAGAGGGACAGCTGTTGGAGGCACAGGAGTGTACTGGGGAATGTAGGTCCCTTGCATAGGTGCAGCAGCCGTCATATACTAGAATAAGACAAAGCCAACTGAATTTAGGGATGTAGGAAGAAAAAAGGAAGAAAACTTGCTAGACCTATTTATTGTCCTAATTAATTTAACCAATTTCATATAACCTGCCAATCTACTAAACAATATCAATACATCTGTTGAAGTAAACATTAAGTGGTGACTTAATATGAATATTGCTTAGTAATTTTAACTTAACAGAAAGTGCTGCTGCATTTGTATGATTAAAAAAACCCCTAACCCATAGTGGCCATTTTGTATAATTAAGCTGCCATGTAATACAACAGTATTCTAACTTTGTTCTATGACAAAAACAGTCATGTGGCAACCCTCTGTGTAATGGACGCAATGCATCTAAGGTCTTTTGAGTTCAATTGCTTTCACCTGGAAAATTAAGTACCTGCTGCTCTCTTCAATTGAAAATCATTAGCACTTCAAAGTGTTTTACATTGTTTGGATCAAAGGCATTGGTAATAGCATAGACTGCTATTGTATGAATGGTGCAGGTTGTAAAAACCTTATGAAACTTAGGGTCAAATTATGCACGAGGCTAAATATCATTTGTTGTTGCACCTTTAGGAATGGTTCATTGCTGAACTGGGGCACTAGGACCATAGTGCACGGGGGCAGGTCCACCTTTCACAGCTTTGAACTCCCAGTCCCACAGAGAATTGACCTCTCCACTCCATGGAGGCTCTTCAGCTTAAGAAAGGAATTCCAACTGAAAGAAACCTCCTCAGCCTAAGAATAGCTGAGTAGGGGAGTTTTGTTAAAATGTGGAAGGGGGCAGAAGGCTTAACCCCTTTGTTATGCACTAAAAATACCACCAACCCATCTGCAATTTTTATAAATTGATTCTTTAAAAGACGGTAATCGTTCCATGGCATGTCTAGTTGGCCTTCAGACAGTTATGCATGTATGGCTGTGTGCTAAGCACAGAATGAAATGCTTGCCTGAAGTGTCCTTTTTAACCCACATCTGTGGACAATCAGAATGCAAGAAACTAGCACACGCAGAAGTAACATAATGTAAGCCAGTGTGCTTCTACAAGTGGTTTGAAGATGCAGCTAGGTTTCTGAGTCCCAATCAGACTCGCTTTGGAGCAAATCTCACTAATTTCAACTGAACTAATATTCATGTATATGCATTGGATCGTGGTCTTCATCCATTCTACCTGATAGTTATTTAAAATGAGAACAATTAAATCTCTAGAAACCTGAAGGGAAAAATAGCAGGAAAAGCAAAATAAAGAAACAGAACAGATGTTTCAGAGCTTCCCCTTGTATAGCTAGGACTGCTAACTTGATTTTCTTCTACGCATGAATCGTTTTTAATTTCCAGGAAGTCTTCTCAGCTATCAACATTAGAAATCCTTCTGAAAAGCTCTTGCCCTCAAGTGCTATAGAAATATCCTTAATTACAAGTGTTTTTTTGACACTCTCACAGCATTATTCCTTCCTTCCATTGCTTATAAGAAGAATTTGCTGAAGGCAATAAATAGCACAAATCCTTCAATGTCCTATCAGTATTAAGTCATCACATCTAGACATTGCTTTGTTTTGCCACTATCCAGTTTGAGCTGTATTCCCTGACAAAAATACCTCCAACACCTCTAAACTTCAAAGGTGAGGAGAAGAGCCAACCGTTCCAAGAAAGTGTTTGATGAATTTTGAAACTACTAAAATAGATTTACCAGCTGAAAAAGGAAGCTCTGAAAGCATTTCATTTTATCGTTATTTTAAAATATGCCTTAAAATACTTCTTCTAAATGAACCCTGAATCACTTTGCTTTTAGACATCTACTGCACCACAATACTGTGACAGAGAAAGCAGACAAAGAAACATAAATATTTAGATACTCTGAAAATGACATTCATTCAGGCAATAAAATCTTGACTTGGACAAAAGTTTCTGCAAAGCAGAAATATTAGGAGGTGTGGAGGTATATTTACTAGGAGGTGGTCATCCTGCAGACAGCCCAGAAGAAGCTTTATAGTTGTTCAGCACTGTGGCAATGCATTGTTCCCACTTTTATTCAGGATGGGTGGCCAGTGAAAAAAGCACACAGAAGAAAATGCAGTTCTAGCCTGGCCTGAATGACCCTATTCACTGCAACAGAGAAATCCACAGAGCTGTGGAAGGCTATTTTTACACCTGTTTGCAGCAACTGTTCTCCATCTCAGGCACCATGTTCCCCTGGCCATTCTGGAGGTGCTTCTTTACTATGTAATCCTTGCCAATCAGGGAGCATGCAGGGATTCTCCTTCTCTGGGACATGTGGGAAATGCTCACTGATCACCTTGCTGGACACCTTGCTAAGTTGGCTCACTCTTTTGATATGCCTTACTTAAGGATTCTCACATCATACACCTGTTGGAAACAAAGCTCATGAAACAGCATGACTCTGAGTCTTGTTTGCCCAAGTGGCAGAAGCCTCTTTCCTACATTCTCGAGGGCTCTAGCTGGCTGGCATTTTCTTGCAAAGCCCTTGGTGCTGATATGGTTGCACCATGAGGAAGGTACTTGGCTCTTTTGTCAGAGATGATGAGTTCTCCCTTAAATGAAATGTTCATGTAGTGAGTAAAACGTGCAGGCTTGATGTGGGAATCCCAACAGTAGAGACTTTTTGGCTTTAGGCCAAAAGAGATCAGTGGTAGAGTTGGCTGAAAACAACTAGTCCACACTGGAGTCTGCAAAGACCAACTGTTCTGTTAGCTGTTACAACACAGAAGCTGCTGACTCATAGAATTGCTGAATTTCTTAGATAAGGCATGGGATCTCCCACCGACTCTGTATACAGGTGCTTCTTATGGTACAAAGTGAAATCTATGAATCTGCTAACTTTTCTTGGAGTCAAAAAGCAACTGCAGAGTGTTCAGTGGGATATTTCCAGAAACTCAGGAGCTAGCTGGTGAGACAACAGAAAACCATGGTTTTCTTATTGAAGAGAGGAAAATAGTCCTCTGTTTACCTTCAGCCCGCACACCTCTGGCAAACAAAAACAGATCATTCAATACAGCAATTCAGGACCTCCTTCAAAAGTTGAATCTGCTCCTCCTGGCAGAGCATCTGTATTGCAGCAAATCAGCTTTTTTCCTCTGACAGTTGAAACTGTATAGAACTCCCTTAGGAAGGACAGGTAAGGTCCTTTTATTGTCCTTGTTGCCATTTGCTAAAGAAGCAATTCACTGGTATTCCCTGTTTCACTATGAACAGCTTCTTAAGAATGAACTCCTCTTTCTTATTTTAATAGAAATAATTATTGAGTCCTGGAGCCACTAACTGCAACTGGCCATCTTAACAAGGGGTTCTTTTTTGCATGCTGCCTCTGGGAGGCAGAAGGCTCCTTCCAACAAAACTTCATTCAGCAGAGTACCACAGAAACAAACACCAAAAGCAAAACGCTGACAGCAACAAAGGAAAATATACAACATATTAAAACAGGGACAATACTAAAGGTAGGCAATTTTATGCATTAAAGTCATCTTCAGTTCCTGGTGAAAGAGGCACAAGGAAGGAGGCTTCCTGAAGAATTTCAGTTGGGAGAGAGTCCAAGATTCATGATACCATCTCTGAAAAAGTCCTCTCTCTAGTACTAGGTCCCAGAAGCAACTGAGATGGCAGCAAGAGCAAAGCCTTTGACAGTGATCTTAATTTCCTAGCAGGTCTGTCTGTCTGTCTGTCTATTTATTTATTGAATTTGTTTAAAAGCTGCCCACCAGAATCACATTTTCTGGGCAGTCATTACAATAAGAAGTACCAACAAAATATCATGGAATGAAACCAAAACGATTTAAAATAGCATAATAAAATAGAAGCAGATAAAATCATAATATGCACAATGAATAATAATATAAAATATTAAAAAACCATGCAATTAGTCAAATGATCTATGTAGCACCATGGATGCATTGAAAAAGGTAGGCTTTTGCTAGGTGCCCAGAACTCAGCAAAGTAAGTGCCTGGTGAATCTCAAATGGTAATGAATTTCATAGCTGGGGTTCCACCACAGAAAAGGGTCTCCTCCTCGCAGTTTCCTCCTTAACCTCCTTGAGGGGAGGAACTTGGAGAAGGGCCTCAGCTGATGATCTTAAGGAACAGCAGGGATATATGGAGTAAGCTGTTCCCTAAGTTAATGTGGCCCCAAGCCATCTAGGATTTTGTATGTCATAATCCAAACCTTGAATTCAGCCTGGACTGGAACAGGCCAGGAACAGATCTGTATTACAGCACCTGGCCCACTCGGTCCTCCTAAGATATTTAGGGCTTTGAAGACTTGCACCAGCACTTTAAATTGAACCCAGATGAAAATAGGAAGTAAGTGTAGATAATGAAAGAGTTATAGGCTTTGGTCACCACCCTTTAGATCAAGTAAAGGTTGCAAACTGTCTTCCCCCATGCAGTATGCTTCACAATAACCAAGTTGGAAGTTTGGTGAAGCATGGTTGACTGAAGCCAAGTTGTATTTTCACACAGAAAGTCATATAGTGTTGAATGAAACAGTGAAAATAACACAGAGTGGATGGAGAGCATCCGTGCTCTGATGTGCAGCCAGATATGTGGATGTGCAGATAACCACCGCACTGGCATCGATCAACATCTACTGGTAGGTCAACCATGTGTGACTGCATCAGGGTGAGGAAGCAATTGGTGGCTGCCTAAAGAACAATGATCTGTTCTTTTCTACCCTGAAGTTAATCTGTTTCATATACGTTTGCAAATGATTTTTAAAAATCACCATTAAAAGGATGTGCATGTCTGCTATATGTGACCCTCTCTCAATTCCTCTCAACCTCTCAGAATGTCTCAGCCTAGTTTGAGTATGTTTCTGTTGATATCTGAAAGCACTGGGGAGGTTGCATATACAATTTATCACTAAATACAACTATCAAATGAAAAAACAAAATTGATTTTGCTAGGACCACCTGATAATTTCATGGCCATGATGAAACTCATATTTTTGTGTCACAGTATGAATGAATTTGGATGTTTGGATCTGC